TTTTTTTTTTTTTTTTTTTTTTGGTACTGGGGATAGAACTCGAGTCCTTGCACTTGCAAGGCAGGAAGTGGAACCACTGAACTAAATCCCCAGCCTGATTTAATCACCTTTTAAAGGTCCCAACTCTCTCTGGAGATATAACCTAGGGCCTTTGCACTGAGCTAAATCCCCAGCCCTTTAAAATTTTTTTATTCTAAGACAGGATCTTGCTAAATTTCCCAGACTGTGCTCAGACTTGGAGTTCTCTTGCCTTAGCCTCCTAGACCACTGGGAGTGTAAGGTGTGCACCACCATTCAGCTGGTTCCACCTCTAAATACTGTCACAGTGGCATTTAAATTTCAACATGATTTTGTTTTTTCAGTATTAAGGATTGAACCCATGGCCTCACATGTGCTAGGCAAGACCTCTACCACTGAGCTACTCTCCTAGTCCTTTTTAAACTTTATTTTGAGACAAGGTCTCAATAAGTTGCCCAGGCTGGCCATGAGCTCGTGATCCTTCTGCCTCAGCCTTCTGTTTAGCTAGTGTTAGAAGTGTACACCACCATACCTGGATCAGTGTGAGTCTTTGAGAGGACATTCAGACCATAGCACTGTCTCATCTTTATTCATTTGAAGCTGACTAACCACACCAAGATTTTGGTTCATGGCTCACAATAACTTCCTCTTTTCTTTATTTCCCATATCTCTACTGGATTCATTTATTGCCCTATTGGATGCCTGTCTTTCTTATTTCCCTCTGGGTGAGGAAATTCTCTGGCCCTTTGGCTTTTTCCTCCCTGATTAGGCAACGGCAGTCCAGCTGGTACAGAACGGCTTTCTCTCTGTGGACAGGGGGGTGGGGGGGATTCACACTGCCTCTCAGCACTGATTTTGCTCGATTCTCCTAGTTCTGTTGACTTGTTCTCTTCGGGAAGCCTGTATGACTTATCCCTTTAACCATGGAATTTCGGAATCTTCCCAGGTTCTGCATTGTTGTGTGTCTTTTTCCATCTTTCCTGCCTGGAACTCAAGGAGCCTTCCAATTCTTGAACCCAAGGCATTCTTCAAACCACGGAAAGTTTGCCTTCTTATTTTAAAAATGATTGCTTCTCTTCCATTTGTGCTTTTTTTCCCTTCTAGGATTTTAATGCTTATTTTTATTATTCATGAATTATGCCTCCTAGATCCCTGTCCTCCTAGCTGCTTTTTTTCTCGTGTACATTTTTGCTTTGGGTTTTGGATTATCACTTCCACTTGGTTCCTGCAAATTTCCATCTCTCCTCCAATTAATTTAAAATCTAAAACCACGTTTCCTCATGTAGAAAGTAATTTTATTTTTATCTAATTTTTTAAAAGTATTCCTATTGTTTTGTGTTCTTTTTCCTGTCATCTTGCAGGTTGTAGCTGGTCTCTTCCTATAGCTCCCAGCATATCATGGGCCTTTCCTTCCTGGTTGCTGGATTTCCTCAGGTGGAGTCTTCCCTTCCTCTGTCTTCTTGCAGGAATCATCATCCCTATGGCCCACATCCAGCTGACAAACTTGCTGTGCCTTGCTGTGGTCCAGGAGGGAGCACTCTGCTTCTCTCTCTGCCAGCTCTTAGGGTAGAGGGTTGTGTGTGTCCCCTCAGGGCAACCCAAGGCTGCTGGCTGGGCCACTTCTCTGGTGGATTCTGCGCCAAGCTCTCTCCTGCATCAGTGGAGATCTGATTCTCACCCAGGGCTGTCTGGGGCCAATCTCTACTGTCAGGCCCAGAGGGAGGCTAGGTCTTAAGCCAGCCCTCTCAGCACTTAGGCACTGCCCTACCTGCCAGGTCTGGCTGCTAGCTGACCCTGGAGCTTAGCCCAGGCACTGCAGCACTTTTGGAGCTGGAAAAGGAGGGTAGTGGGACTTTCAAGCTGCCATTATTGGCAAGATTTGACTAAACAGAGGCTCGTGGTGTGCACACATGGCATCCCATTTACTCAGGAGGTTGAAGCAGCCGAATTTTAAGTTTGAGGCCAGCTTTGGCAGCTTGGTGAGGCTCCATTTCGGAGGGTGAGGGAGAGGGAGAGGGAAAGGAAAGTTTTTGGTTTCATGGATGTTGTTGAGATAACTGAGATCAACCCTCTAGCATAAGACTATGAAAAAAGAGCAGGTTAGAGGTGTAACTCAGAGGCAGAGGTGTGCTCAGCATGTGTGAGGCCCTGGGTTTGATCCACAGCAATTCCCTCCATCCTCTATAAAACAGTACACTTTCTCAAAAAACCAGCAAAGTGCAGTTGATTTGAATAAACCTCCCTGGCCAGGTTCACGATGACAATTTGTAGCTACACAGCAAGTGAGTGAGCATGGAAAACTGAGCAGTAATGAAGGAGGGTTGCGGAGTTTCTACACTTCTTTTGGTCATGGCGATGATGTCACATGAGGAGGAGAGGAGAGACCCTTAAATGCTCTCAATTCTGTTCTTGGCATGACACAATATACCTATGAAGAGAGTTTTCTTGGAAGCAGGTGAAGATGAAGTGTGAGGAGGCAGGGTGAATTCTTTCCGGCACATTGTGCTGGGCCTCTCAGGACATCTTCAGCTGCAAATGGACACTTCAAATGTGCC